GCTCCAGTCAGTATTTATACACACAACCATACCTATCGATCAGTATTTAACACCAACCGACCATAACGCTACAGTCAGTATTTAATACCACGACCATACCGTACAGTCAGGATTTATACATCACAACCATACCTAACTGTCAGTATTACACACAGTCAACCATACTACAGTCCGTATTTATACACACAACCATACTACAGTCAGTATTTACACACACAACCATTCTATGGTCAGTATTTACACACACAACCATACCTACATTCGGTATTTACCCACACGACCATACCTACAGACAGTATTTACACATACAACCATACCTACATTCAGTATTTACACACACGTACAACCATACCTACAGTCAGTATTTACACACACGACCATACCTACGATCAGTATTTACACACACGACCATACCTACAGTCAGTATTTACACACACAACCATACCTACAGTCAGTATTTACACACACAACCATACTACAGTCAGTATTTCACACACGTACAACCATACCTACAGTCAGTATTTACACACACAACCATATACCTATACAGTCAGCATTTACACACACGTATTTACAACACACAACCATACTACTATTCAGTAATTATACACACAACCATACCTATAATCAGTATTTACACACCAGCAACCAATCCCTACGATCAGTAATTTATACACACAACCATACCTACAGTCAGTATTTACAACCACAACCAACTACGATCAGTATTTACACACACGCACCGTACCTAACAAGTCAGTACACAGCATCAATTCCATACTACAGTCATATATTTACACACACAACCATACCTACAGGTTACAGTCAGTATTTACACACAACGACCATACCTACAGTCGTAATTTATATGCACAACCATACCTACACTGGCTACTGTCAGTATTTACAACACACATCATACCTACAGTCAGTTATTATACACACAACCATATCTTATGGTCAGTATTTACACACACGACCATATGTTCCGCGAGTGCATGTGCACATTTGGCCATACCTGTGCTGGGACACATCTGTCTTGTCAGAAGATTAATGAGAGTGGTCTTGCCAGCTCCATTGTGTCCAAGTAGGGCTGTGATCTGACCTTCATAGAAGGTCGAGGGAGAGACCATCGAGCTGCGCCTCGTCACCGTCCTTGTTTTGAGCGCATCGGACGTATGGCAGTGCAATCAGGACCGTGTTAGAAATTACGAGTAAACCGTAGAGGTAGACAATTTCACAAATGCACGAACCTTCTTTTAGGTGCCGATTAGGTAAATTCACAACACGGAACAACCTGTTGTAATTAGAATGACTAAATTTTTACATTCGCCCTCTTCGGGAATCACTACAACTAATGTAATATATTTTCCCACAGTGCCCAGAGTGTTAACATGTTTTAACATGCGGGCACAACATGCTAACAATGACAACTGCAATGTGCACAGCAAGACGATATAGTTACCAGAAATGCATCGAAATTTGTGAGAACAGGTTCCAGTGGTATATTAACCCTTGGTGCACCTGATTATTCATCTAAGAGTGTCATTTTGCCCACAACGTGAGCTCACCACAATCAAGACTTGCATCATGAAGCCAGCTAATATAACCTAATAAAATAAGCTAATAATGTAATACCCTAACACACTACATAAATAGTACTAGTAGCATAACTTAGTGCATGACTAAACGAGACCGATATCAGCCAAAACAGATTTATCGAACCTTTGAAACTCTTGCTGACATTGCACGATCCGGATTGCCGCCTTATCTTTTAGTTCATCAGAGATTGCGCATCGATGTCTCTGTCAAAGTTGGCCGCGTCGGTGTAGTCGCACGGCGGGGACCTCTCTCAGCAGGCTGCTAGTCTCTCCTGGCCTCACGGATGGGAACCAGTACGATCGCTTCAGGCAGAACAATGGATGCAGCGCTCTGTCCATACTCGCCTAGAGAAAAAAGAGTGCAGTTTTTTTTCGAGGGCTCTTTTTCTAAGTGGCCAAAATTCTCGGGGCTACTTTTGACATTTCGATGGCTATACTTTTTATACCGTAAAATTTATTGTAATTATTGCCTTCCCAATTTGCCTTATGGTTCTCGAGATTTCACTGAACAGTCGGAAATTTTACTCTCATAATACGCATGATAAAATTACTCTCGATCATCATCAATATTTCAGGGGCGATTTCGAACCTAAATGAGGGCAAATTCGCCCGCCGTCCCAGTGCATTTTA